ACGGACATGGCATTATCGACTCGGCTATTGATGCTGATCAAGGATATATATACTTTATGGGGTCGGAAACGATTCCTTCTCTGGGGTGCACACATCCACTTTTACCACAATATTGTATTTAACTCTATTTAACTCCCCTTAACTCTTTTTTGAGTACGGGTATAAAAACTAAACCATAAAAAAAGCCCGAAATCCCGAAATCTATCGAAATATTTTAAAATTCTACATAAATCATAAGCTCACATATTTTTATACTGACTGAGTACGGGTACGTTTCTTCTCGTTAATACTTGTACGTGTACTCCTCCGTCTTCGGATGCTTTTTCCTAGCTATCAGATAAAGACCATATGATAGTTATTGGTGATTTCAATTTGCCAGGTACTGTTTGGTCTTCGGTAAACGAGTCTGATAACCTTGTGCCCATGTCACGATATGACTTTATTGACGGCTTCCTAGACCTGTCGCTGTCTAAAGTCAACCATGTGAAAAATTCCTTGGGTCGATTTCTTTTTCTGTGCTTTGTCTCGGATCTCGGATCGCTCACTATACCTGAAGACTCCTACCACCCTACATTCGAAGTGTCAGTCGATATTGGGCCTACTGTATTGGATCGAACGGGTAGGCTTGAACGTGTGCGCTGCTTTCGTAAAGCAGAGTTTTTGAAGCTGAATAACCCCACGGGGAATTTTGATTGGTCCGCTCTGTACCTGTGCACTGACGTTATGAAAGGCACAAACATTTGTGTCCCACTTTCTTATCCGATTAGATCTGGGAAGCCTCATTGGTTTACCAAAGAGTTATCCAGTATAACAAATTTTAAATCAAGACTTTATAAAACATTTCAAGAAGTTCGTTCTCCTTCTTCTCTCTCTCGCTATGTTATATCTCGGTCAAATTTCTACCTTCTTAACGCTCAATGCTATAAAAACTACCTATCTCGAGGCAGGATACGATTTTCACAGGACCCTAAACAGTTTTACAGCTTCGTAAATAGTAAGCGTAGAACGTCCGCACATCCATCTTGACTCGTCGGCAAACCATGCCCATCTTTTTGCCCAATTTTTTCAAACAACCTATTCCCAAGAAAGCTACTCTGGTCAGCCGTATCCATACATTTTACCAAGGACGAACGACATTTTCAGACCCGTGTTAAATGAAAGCTCATTGATTCATGAGATCCGATTAGCTAAGCTGGTGTATTCACCAGGTCCTGACGGAGTTCCCGGTTGTGTACTCAGGCACTGTGCCGACGCTCTGTGTGGACCCCTGCTTAAGCTATTCACCCTATCCATTAATTCTTCATGCTTCCCCCCGATCTGGAAGGAATCTCTAATTATTCCGCTCCATAAGAAAGGTAGCAAGTCTGATGCAAATATTTATAGAGGTATGTATAATTTATCCGCTATTCCTAAAATTTTTGAAACAATTTTAACTCCGCACTTGCAACATCTCTGCAAATCACTTATATCTCCATCTTAGCACGAATTTTTAAAGCGACCATCAACAACCTCTTTTATCATTAAAGGCTTTCAAGGTAACTTGCAGACGATGTTATTTACACTGATTTCAGTAAAGCATTCGGTTTTGTAAACCATTCCCTTGTAGCACAAAAACTTGACCTTTTAGGGTTTCCGCCTAATTTTTTTAGATGGATTTCTAGCTACCTTCGTTCTAGGTCCCAAAAACTCCTCTTCACCAGTTAAGGTTACTTATGGAGTACCACAGGGAAGCCATCTAGGCCCCCTACTTTTCACACTCTTTATTAATCAACTGCCTTCAGTATTAACAAATTCTCGAGTACTCCAGTATAAGTACATTTCTTTTCATTCTCGCTTGCAATCCGATCTCAATAACTTTCAGTCATAGTGTTGTGCAAATATGTTACACCTTAGTGCCTCGAAATGCAAAGTAATGACATTTCATCGCTCCAGCCCCTTTTTGGCTATTTGTAGCCTCTGCGGTGGTTCACTTGAGAGAATTACCTTGGTTGATGATCTTGGTGTTAAACTAGACACCAACTTAAAGTTTTCTGAACAAATTTCTACCATGGTAAATAAGGACAGCTTGGGTTCATAAAGAGGTGGTCAAAGGAATTTGACGACGAAGACTCTATATCTCGCTTTTTCGTCTGATTTTAGAGTACGGCTCTTGTGTATGGTGCCCCCGGTATAAAGTACACCAGGACCGTATAGAATCGGACAAGAAAAACTGAAAAACTTACCCTCGTAGATTGCTTTTAATGAAACCTTCCAACCTAAGTTAATCGTAGAAAAATGCTTGGTGTGATTTTTATGCACAAGCTGATCAAGTTTGAGCAGTATAAAGTTTACGATTCCTATAAGATCTACTAGAAAATTTGTTCCTTTAGGTATTTTTGCATGTTTAGCTCTTTTAGTTCAGCTCTAATTTTCATCGAATATTAGTCTAAAACCTATCTTTCGTGCACGTTCGCGATCGCTTCGGTTGCACGCGTGGCGCGTCATGTAGCAACGCCCTTCGGTAGGTTGGGCGGGAGGAGGGCTGCGTTTCTGCCTGGGTACCACGCGTAACAGGCTTCGGCTTGGTGTCCCATGGGCCACTTGATGGTGCAGTCATTGCATTTCAACGTCCAGATAAGAACGTTTGAGTTGGACACTAAGATACGTTGTGAGGGAGAGAGAGGCAAGGAAGTCGGGCACGAGAAAATGTTTTCTTTATTCTGGCTATAATAATGAACCGTTCACAAACATTTGGTTCTGAAACCATCTGATATCTGGTGGATATTCCTTGATCCCAGATCTTCTCCCCAGACGCAGACTATGTGACAATTGGAATGCCTCTAAGAAATCCTACATCAAGCAAAAGCCGCATCTGAGGTTTTAATCCAAAAACCATGGGTAAGCAGCTAGAAAGTCTAGGAGCTAATTCAAAAAACGGTAGGCAATCTATTCTGAAAATCACAAACGACCGCGTATGGTGTTGATTTTTAATAAGCAACTAAACTGTGTACTTCTTTCACAGTTCATAACTAAAGACCTGGTGGCCGTTTGGACGACAGTCTCAATAAAGCAAAACGAAACAGGTTCGTGCTAGTATCCGCCTGAGACCCAGGAGTTTCGGACAAAATACCCACACAGGAAGTCCGCAACCGAGTAGATAAATGTCGTACCAAAAATCTTCAGTGGACTATTGCCTGAGGTGCCAACGCCCAGACAGTACAGAAAATATTCGAGTACCTTTTTGAGCACATTTATAGGGGATGCCACAGCTTATTAAAGGAAAACGTCAACATAACCCATTTCCGGACGCGTCATTTGAATCACGCACAATTTTATACGACGAAGGATGATATGTGCATTTTTCACGACATTTTTGGGTTATTAATGGAACTGAGTGAAGCTTACGACCCAAAAACTGGAGGTTATTTATTGACAGCAGTAAGGAAAGTTTAAAGGCTGTTTTTTTACACAATGGAAACCAAAAGCAGTCTGTTCCCATCGCCCATGCTGTTAATATGAAGGAAAGATATAAAACAATGGCTAAATTGTTTGAAAATATAAAATACTAGTAGACCCGCGCGCTTCGCTGCTTACGAATTGAATTTTTAGGAATTCATAGAAATTAAACAATGATAATTTTGATGTAATAACATATTTTATTTATTGCAATGATTTGTGATAAGCAATATTTTTTGTCTTGCAGTCGGTACAATGAAAAAAAAAAATGCCGAAGGTTTGCCTACTCGTGAGCACCCTACATACAGTTGACCATGTGAAAATACCGGATGCTCCAAATTTAAACCACAATTTAGCAACGACTGTCCTATTGATTTATTAATAGCACTACTCGACACGAGTTTTCCTCAAGGAACAAAACAAACTTTTTCTTAAAGCCTAGTACTCAGATCGAAAAACTGTTTGCTAGCAAACAGATGTCATATATTTTTCGAGCGACCAGTGGTGTGACCAGAGGTGTGCACTGCATTCCGAACGGTTACACTGCTCAGACCGCTGCTTGGTTTTGTTTAAAGTTAACAAAATGCACTTCTTCGGCTGGGGCCGCTCTTCCCCAGGCATATCCTGGGCTCCCCAATATTTTATTGGCAAGGTAATGTGTCTGACTATCAGCAGGAGCAGATGGCGACGCCACCCGTGCCGACAACCGTGAAGACAAACTGTTTTGAAAGCAATATTTGTTTTATATTTATGAAAATTAATAAAAATATTATATTATAATATCCATATAATTGTCCTTTATATAATGCTGCATTAATTAGATTCTATTTGTCTTCATTATTAAAATATTTCATTTGGTTTTTTGTTCTCTTATTGCAATGTTTGCTTCGTGTTTGCTGGCAAAAGATATCAAATTGATATCTTTTTCGAGGTGGGTCGAAACACACAAAAAAAAACAAGCAAATACTTTGGATACTTTTCCAGTATTTAACGATCTTTTTGTTTTTTGATCTGAGTACTGCCTTCCGTACAGAGCCTAGAAAACAGTTTTTGCAGTAAAACATTTCTTATCGGTTTCATACAAATATCAACCCTGATTCTGTTCGCGAGGTGTTTTTTTTTTTCGATCTGAGTACTAGGCTTAAAGATTTGGGGCTTAGAAATGGTTTGATAATTTTTTTTTGAAGAATTTTTGAAATCTGGTATTTTTTTGTATAGCTTTTTTTCAGAGGTAGCGCTCTTTTTTTCCCATAACTCTAGTGTCTTACGTCTGATTGTAAAGAACTTTGCTATTTTAAAAAGATATTTAAAGCAGCTAGAAGTCAAGCCAAAATAGTATTTGTGATTTCAGCTTACCGTCTGGGAAATATAAAGCATTGAAATACAAAAATTATGATTTTTGTGCTCTATTTTTAGCGAAAGTTTGACTTTAAAAACTTCTTTACAACCCGACGTAAGATACTAGAGTTACGTGAAAAAAAGAAGCACTACCTCTGAAAAAAACTTTTAAAAAAACCAGCTTTAAAAAATTCTTCAAAAAAAGTTCTGCCATAGAAAAATTCTTTTAAAAAATTTAAAGTCCCATATCTATCAGAAAAAGTCGGTTTGGATCATTGAAGAAAAAAAGTTGGATTTTGTCGAGCAGTGTAGTCATAGCAAAAGCAAGACGAAGCGAAAATTGTAGTCGTTTGAAATCTCGACCTAAAATTGAATTAAATTAAATTTAATTTCAATTAAAATAAAAATCAATCATAAATTATTCATCAATTTACCGTTTACTGGATTTATCATTTTAATGTTGAAATTATAGCTATCTTTGCCGCTCCAAAACAATATGGGATATTGTAGTGCATCATAACAGCGATGAGTCTCGGATACACGTTCAAGTTGTTCATTTCTACGATGAAGCACAATATCACGACTATTAAATTGCTCACCAACTATGACTATTGCCACTTCGTCAACTGTTTTTGCATTGAAACGCTTTGCATGTTCGCCAACCAGAGTTTTATCAGCTTGAATAAAAATTTTATGATCGTCAGATGGCATTCGATCAAGCAACGTTTTGAATAACTGAACCAATTCGTTGTGCTCATGGAACAAATTTTGCAAATCGAAAATAATTTGTCTCCGCGTGTTGGCACACCGACGATCAGTTTCATCTTCCGCGTTCCCGATATAATATAATTGCAAAAATTGGTGGTCTGCGTTGTCGAAAGGTAACAAAGAGCCAGCTCGATGGTATATTTGACCTTGAATCTGAATAAAATATATGATTGAATGAGAACAAACGTACAATTTGCATAAACAAAACTATTTAATTACCTTGAATGTTTGCATGAAGTTGTCTCTTATAATATTTGTGGCGCCAAAAGATGTCATTTGAAAACTCGAATTATACTTTCGTATATTGTTCAAAAAATGATTAGACTCAGGTGTCAATCCATTAAGTAATGTGCTCAATGGTTGTGTTGGGCTGCCTAATTCAGGCAATTTCACTTTACCACTCGCACAGCACATCCCATCTGCTTCACCTTTAAATTTTAATGCCTGACAATGGCGAAAACGGTCGCTCATTGAACCAATTATAATTTGCCTATGAGAAGCGTAATCGGTGACACTATTGTACGTGAACGCAACACCTTGTAGATTTTGTATATCAAGACGTTCATTTGCAGTTGTTGTTGCATCATTGTTCCGTTGATTTGAACGGGACCCTGCTTTGCGTAGACGATTATTTTCATTGCGATGTGTAATGTCTTGGTTACTTTCATGGCTCATCGAAGCCACAACTTGTGACGCATTTCACGTTCTCCGGCCCAAATTTAATCGTCTCGACATTTAACTTTAAAAACCACACTGGTTGGTCTAAAAATTTTCAAAAGGAACAAATATACTTACACAAATTGCACATTTTTCAGCAAACAATTTTTCGCAAAAAAAGTTATAAAAAACAAAATCTATCATATAATGTTTGGTTCTACAGAATGACACAAAATGAAATGAAATGGGCGTTTAAACACACATTTTTAGACCAAATATGAGATTATTTTTTGATTAATTTTTAATTTTTGTGGAACCTATTTATAGAAAAGTAAAAACTTTTGTATAGAAATGGAAATAGAATGCCACAAACTCTGGCAATCATTTAAAAAAAAACCGCATGCAATTGGGTGCACGCGTTGCGGAGAAATGAAATGAAATAGGCACTCAAACACACACTTTTGGACCAAATTAAGGATTTTTTTGATTAAATTTTAATTCTTGAGGAACCTACTTATAGAAAAGTACAAATTTGTTTGTGCAAACCAGGCCACATTCTCTGGCTATCAATTAAAAAAAAACAGCATGCAATTTGTTGCACGCGTTATAGAGATAGCCGCTTACACACAGATTTTTACAAATTTATAATATAGATAAAGAACACGAGTGCAAGGTCAACGGGATTTCAAGGTGGTTAGAAAAAATACTGCTGCTTCCTGTGCCTATGGGATAGTAGAGCTAGAACTGAGCATTACTCAAAAAAACTCTGGCTGTTCAGTCGCATATTTATGCATTAATTAATATTACATAATATACTCTTATACTAAATATATATATATATATATTAGTCTGGGCCAAAATTTGACCAAAAGATTAGTTTTTTGTTTTTCCAAGGGGACACCCCCAATTCTGTTCTTTGTTATTCAATAAAATTGTACAATTTTTATCAAATTTTTAGTTTAAAGTTTGGGGGTTGCTACCACGAAATGAAAATACAATTTTTTGGTTAAATATACATTAAAAAAAATTTAATTCGTCGGTTTCTTCAAATAATATTGAAACTTAGAAACTATTTCATATTGATAATAAGGTATTTTTAATTAATTTTTTTTTAGTTACTGTTAAAAACGTAAGAACTTTTTACAGAATTTTTGAAGTCTGGTATTTTTTTAAAACCATTTTTCAGAAGTAGCGCTTGTTTTTTCACATAACTCTAGTATCTTACGTCTGAAAAGATAATTAAAACAGCTAGAAGTTAAGCCCAAACACTTCGTGATTTCAGCTTACCGTCTGGGAAATATAAAGCATTGAAATGCAAAAATGATGATTTTTGTGCGGTAATTTTTACGAAATTTTGACGTTAAAAACTCAGGAAAGGTCGAAAAAAAATTTGGCGTCGTTTAAGCTACATCGCTCATTAAAATCTATGGAGAGACTTTGGAGCTAAAATTCGTTAACCAAACCTAAAAAATGAACAAATTTAACAAAAAATACCTTTTGGAAGGTTGCGGGCCCAACTGCCAATTGGGAACAAAGCAAACGAAAAAGGGTTGTACATTTGGTACCTGATCGCGTTCCTTTGGTATGAAATGTTGTTGACAGTTACTTTTTTCGTTATCTCACAAGTGCAGGTCCACACAAATTGGATCTCGTCGCGTCTACCTAATCATATTTCAATAAAACCAAGGTAGAAATACCTGAGATATGGGATTTCATTCCTTAACCCATACAACAATCAGTAATTTTTAGTCTTTTCAGTCGATTCTAAGGATATACAAACTTTTTTATTTGGTGTTATTTTGCTACAAGTTTTAAAACATAAGTGATTCCTGAATAGTTATTACTTGAATCCGTTGTTCCATTCGAACAACGGTATTTCCTCTGACGGACGAGCAGGAAGGGTAAAGCCGAAACCAGATTATTTCGGGTAAACTATTTTCATGTGTTTCCCAATTCCAATTTTCTTTACTGAACAAAAGAAAAATTCGGCGCCGTGAATATCTGTTTTTTTTCCACATCATTGGACTACCAAATTTAAATTTTTTTCTAAAACAACTGTAAGAAAAAAATAATGTTTAGTATTTTGGGTAAAGTTAATAGTTTGTGGATTAGAGTTACTTACTTTTCGTCGTAATCATATGATGTTAAATTCAATCTACTCATTTGACATATACAGCTTGGTGCCCACTCTTCAACAAAACTTTCGGGTTTGATTTTAAAGTTTTTTTCATACTGTTTTTGGAGAGTTTCGGTAAAAGCGATTTCGTTGATGTAGCAAAATGAGTCTGCTTGGAAAGCACATGAAAATGATCGGCCAGAGGTATCCATGACAATTGATTTTAATTAATTGTAAGATGTTTTGGTAAACAGACGATCGTATTCTGAGGGAAGTCAGAACTACACTAACTCCATGACTATGATTAGGTAGACGCGACGAGATCCAATTTGTGTGGACCTGCACTTGTGAGAATATAAAGGAAACATTTGACCTGAATAGGTATCCTACCTCAGATAACGAAAAAAGGAACTGTCAACCACATTTCATACCAAAGGAACGCGATCAGGTACCAAATGTACAACCCTTTTTCGTTTGCTTTGTTCCCAATTGGCAGTTGGGCCCGCAACCTTCCAAAATGTATTTTTTGTTAAATTTGTAATTTTTTAGGTTTGGTTAACGAATTTTAGCTCCAAAGTCTCTCCATAGATTTTAATGAGCGATACCTTAAACGATGCCAAATTAAGGCACCTATACACAAAAAATTGAGGTCACAGGATATCATTTTTTTTTCGACTTTTCCTGAGTTTTTAAAGTCAAAATTTCGTAAAAAATACCGCACAAAAATCATCATTTTTGCATTTCAATGCTTTATATTTCTCAGACGGTAAGCTGAAATCACAAAGTGTTTGGGCTTAACTTCTAGCTGTTTTAATTATATTTTCAAAATAGCAAAGTTCTTTACAACCAGACGTAAGATACTAGAGTTATGTGAAACAAACAAGCGCTACCTCTGAAAAAAGCTTAAAAAAAATACCTGTTTTCAAAATTTCTTTAAAAAAAGTTCTGCCATAGAAAAAAAAAATATCAAACCATTTCTAAGCCCCAAATCTTTAAGAAAAAGTTCGTTTTGTTCCTTGAGGAAAAATCGTCTTTGAAAAATTTTGTTTGAATGTTCTTGATTACATTTTTTTGTAAAATTCGGTAGCAACCTCTAAAAAATTAAAAAAAAATAAAAACATGTAAATTACTATTAAATCCAAGGTAACAAAACTAGGGGTTTCCCGTTTAAATTTGGAAAAAAAAGTGTTTGGCCCAGCCTAATATATATGTATATACATATATATACTATACACAGGTCGACCCATGTAACAGGAGACATAATAACAAACGACAATGTATTGTAGCTGAGTTAACAATAACCGCTACTGCAGCAATTTCAGCCAACGATGCGATCGCTCTTCAGAGGGCAAAAACACTGGTGCAATTGCTGACTATCACAATTGCCCAATAACACAATATCATATTAAATCCAAATTAATTCAATATTAACTCCAATTCCCTTTTACCATATTCTTACTAGACTCGTCACTTTCTGTACCTTTTTTTTTTACCTATAAATAGAATTTAAGTTTGTTGAATAAAATCAGTATCAGACACAGTACCATCACTACCTGTTCACTAGTTCTCTGCAACTGCAATCATCAGAGGCTGTCGCCGTGTCTTCAGACCCTCATTTGCAAACCCTCTCCGCAGTCCAACTGGTTCTAGTTGCGACGACAAAATTGTAAACGGTTTATGTACCGTAAGCATACCACATCACACACACACAAACATGAATTAACACTGGCCAAAACGGGAGGAAAATAAATTGGAATATTACACCATACAAAATGCAGCTTTCGTGAAGTTTGAAGACGTTGTTTTACCACCATTACACATTAAGCTGGGACTAATGAAAAATTTTGTCAAAGCACTGGATAAGGAAGGTGAATCGATGAGTTACCTAAAAACTGTTTTCCCACGTCTGTCGTTGGCAAAAGTTAAAGAAGGCGTTTTTGATGGCCCCCAATTGAAAATATTTTATCTACGAAAGCAGCCTGGAACTCATTCCGATTGGTTACAAAAAATTGTCTTTGTAACAGCAAGAGTGATGATTACGTTAATATCGTTCAAACCCTTATTAAGAATTATGAAAAAATTGGAGCCAACATGTCACTAAAAATCCATTTCCTGCACTCCCACTTAGACTTTTCCGACAAACCTAGGGGACGTTAGTGATGAACACGGAGAGAGATTTCACCAACAATTAAATGCTATGGAACGACAGTATCAAGGTGTTTGGAATGAGAATATGTTGGTCGACTATGTGTGGACTCTCATAAGGGAATCTGATTCGAATGGCAAAGGAAGACAAAGGAAGCCACAAAAATTAAATTATTTTAAGAACAGTAACAGGCACTAGAAAACCAAATTTATCACATACGTTTCAAAACTTGTAACACCAAATAAAAAATAAGCGAGAAGGAACGTAGAGTCGCTTCTGGGGATGCGACTCTACTTATACCCGTACTCAGTCAGTACATAATTTTTGAGCTTATGATTTATTCAGAATTTTAAAATATTTACATTTACATCTATAATATATATGTTACATCTAACATGTAGATTCTACATGTACCATTTAGATTCCACATCTTTTTCGCCAGCGGGCGCTCGCGTACATAACGAGGCAGAATGTGCGAGCGAGAAAGAGAATGAGTAGCGGTTCTCTTGCTGAAGGAGGCGGGGTAAGCAACTGAAAATTAATTTCTTCATTCTGGCACTAATTATAATTCCATCTGATTCAGATTCGGCAATCTGGTAGATATGGGCATTCTCTACGATACTGCGTTTTTAGTATCTTTATCTTTAAAATTGTCCCTGCCACAGATTTTCGACCTTTGTGGGGGCAGAAGGGGGCGGGGCGAAATTTTGAAATACACTTGTAGCAGTGTGATATGACATGAGTCTGGAAACCGAATTTGGTTTCTCTAGCACTTATAGTCTCTGAGATTTATGCGCTCATCAAGACGGACAGACGGACATG